GGAGCAGATGGAGAAGTCCACATACATTTGATCATAGCACACCTCTGTTAATCAACAGACACACTCGTTAGTCTTTCAATGCTAAGTCTGCATTACTCTATTGTTCAAAATTATGGGGATCCAAATAACTTAAATTGCTTAGCTATCAAAAAGACGGGCTTAAATTGATTTCAATGAGGCTACATTTGATTGGAAAAACAAAAAACAAACTATAAAAAACTTGTTCTGACCAGATTATGGATGACATTTGTGAGGGTCCAGACGAGGGGCACTGTGAGGGAAGGGATGCTCAACAGGACGACGTGCAGCACGGTGGACCAGCAGTAGGTATGCCAACCAGATCCCTCTGCTGTTCATCACCTGCGTGTTGGGGTTCACCTCACTGTGAGCCACGCCCACATTCATCCTGAGGGAAAGGGGATGATTACAAATGATGGTCATTGGACATTGAAGCTTAAGACACGCTTGATACAGGAAACATTGAAGCTTAATACAGGAAAGGAATGTACAGGATCTAGGCCTACGGCTTGGAAAATTCCTATTAATTTCTAGAATGAAGTTTGATGTTAAATGGAACATTTGAAATAGCAGATTATTTTATTGGTGTATGAATAACATAAAAATCTAAAATTTCCCAATTCTGAGAAAATGTTACTAAACAAAAGGAGAATGAGTACACATTTGCATATTTCACAGAGTTCCCTCAATTACTCATTTCACAGATCAACATGAGAAGATGAGGTATAGAACATTGATGTCAAGGGGGAAGTAGAAATCTAGGGGCCCTAGTTCTCCTTCCAGTATGTCACTAGGCCAGGTAAAGTGACCATCTGTTTTTGCATCTTATTATAGTGGGGTAGGTAGCTATCAACATACTGTACATATTTCATGGCTTGTATATATATAAACAAATCTATTCCAATCCAAGTGGATTTGAGAAATTGAGAACTCTGCCACTGATCCACACAGCCATGATCCTCCCTTCAGACTGGCTATCTACTACCAAAACTAGCTAATATATTGTTGTGGATATAGCAAGTGGGTCTAGCATCAACTCATCTGACTGAGTAGCTCATGCAACTTTAGGCCTGATTTGGTGACTACAGTCGGTCATTTAGAAGTTAGCTAGCTAGCTGATATGTACCCACTGATCTTTGAAAAATATTACTTACAAATGCCTCATGAGCTTAGTTCAACTGTCGTACCCCATCAGAACCCAAAATATAACCTTCCAATATTTGGAAACAAAGTAAATGTAAACAAACACTGTATTGCATAATAAACATGGTTAAAACTACCCTTACAAAAAAAGATCGCAGTTTTGAAACTGCAGTAAAAGTGCAGTAACTGCAGTCAACTGTGGTATTGCAGTTATACTGCAAAATTACTGCAGTAAAAAACACTGTATATACTACAGTGTACTTCAGTTATACTGCAATCTTTTTTCGTAAGGGTATACTTTTGATATCATGGATGGTCAGTCCTTGCATCCATAGCTCTGGGGAGTTCGCTTTGTTATTGTTTCCACTGCTGATTGCTGCTTTACCTAAAATCTAGCTAGCTAGCTAACTCCATCAGCAAGCTGGCTAGCTAGCTACTGTAGCTAAATAACAACAGCTGTTTGTGCCGTGAAAACTAAGATTAATTTGCAACATCTACTTAGATTATGTGAACAGGTGCTAACGTATGACATTTAGCATGTTAGACCAAACTTTCCTTACAATCTAGCTAGAAACTCACCTTCTATTGTAACCAGGAAATCCCTAAACATGCTCATTCCATTGTTCGTTTAGGATTGGCTGTAATGGTGGCATGTCAGTTATTATCAGTTTCGGATCTTACCGAACAACAGCTTCCCTTATAATAAAGTTATAATGAGTGAGTGGGCAGAAAATACAAAATATGCATAATTGTTTGGGGGAGAGAAATAAAATACAAAATAATTGTATTCAAATGGTGGTTGTTGATTATGAAATAAAACAATCCCCCTGTCCTCTGTTGCCCTACCAAACATGTCATAGTCCTTTTGATAAATAAATATATATAGGCTATTAAAAGTGTGGTCCTGAGTGTAAATTGGGCCTCCAATTTGCTACTGGCACTCTAAATATTAATTTACAGATGTAATGCAAAAAATGTATACTTTTGCTGGACCATGAAATGGGCATCTTAAAGCTTTTGCTCATGTATTACCACTATGTCAGTGTGCTTTTTAATGAAATGTCTTCAAAAGAGTTCTGCCCATTCAGTGAAGAAATTTGTCATAAACCAAACTTCCTTGTATACATTAGCTTATGTGCACTGAGTGCAAGTTCCTTTTTTGGGGATAGTGAGTACAACATAATTTTGACAGTTTGAATTACTGTCAACATTGCGTAATCGTTATTTGATGGAATTGTAGTCAGCATTACACAGCTACCCACAATAATAGACATATTGAAGTATGGGGCAGCAATAGGAAGCTGTGCACCTCCATGCAGAATAACATAAATGTTTTAGGAAAGCACAGCTTCCTTCTAGTGCTTGACTGCAGGTTGAGAAATCCTTTAACAGCCATTAGGGATTCCTTGATGACCTCCCTAGCATAGATTATTAGCTGTTGAATGATATTTATTATTACAGTAGATCAGGGGCAGACTAGGAAAATAATTAGACCCTGGCATTTTATCGCCACCAGCCCACGTTCAATAGAGTTTAATTACATACATCTTTATGTGCACTAACTAATATCATAGGCTAATTAAATTGGGGTTAAACACCTGAGGAAGTGGAAACACATGAACTATATCACTAACTCTAAATATAATACCCACTGCTATTAGCCATGTATTCATACAACAGTAAATGTAATGTCCTAAAAAAACTTTGCAGTTGTAGACTACTACCCATGAGACATATAGGCCTATTCCCTCGCAATGGCTGGTTTGTCACGACTTC